TAGTTTGTAACAGACATTAATATTTGAGAAAGGGGCAACAGCATACAATAGAGAAGACAGCCTCATCAATAAATGCTGGGAATAAGTGCTGGGAAAACAGGATTGCTACATGTAAGAAAATGAAACTAGACCACAAACACATACCATATACAAGAATAAACACAAAATGAATAAAAGACAAATATAAGTCATGACACCATAAAAGTCCTAGAGGAAATCAGATGCAGGAGAATTTCAAATATTACATGTAGCAATACTCTTGCCAATACATCTAGTGCAAGGGAAATTAAGTAAAAATAAACAAATTAGACTACATCTAACTAGAAAGCTTCTGCATGACTAAAGAAACCATAGTCAAAATAAAAAGGGAACTGACTTTGTAGGAGAACACATTTTCCAATGACACATCAGATAAGGGTTTGATCTGGAAAGTATATAAATAACTCATGAATCAAAATCATGAAGACAAACTATCCAGTTAAAAAAATGGGCAAAAGAGCTGAATAGCTGCTTCTCCAAGAATGACATACATGGATCATAAACATATGAAAAAATGCTCAATATCACAGCCAAGACAGAGATGCACATTGAAACCACATTGAGATGCCACTTCACAACTGTCATATGACCATCAGCAGTAAATTAGCAAACAAGTCCTGGTGAGGATGTGGAGAAAAGGGAGCCCTAGTGCATTGTTGGTGGGAATGCTGACTGGTGCACTCACTGTGGAAATCAGGGCAAAATTTCCTTTAAAAACTAAACATGTTTGTTGTATTTTAAAGTTTTAAGAATATTGAAAGCCTTGAAATGTCATGGAGACATGGATTTTCAATGGACTGTTGCTTCTGATTTTATGACAGGACATTTTCCCCCTCTCTTCTGAGAGTCTTCACATCAAACTCCAAATGTTTAACAAGCACATGGTTGGAACTGAGTTTTTAGAAACACCAAACCAAATACCATCTCCAGTTACAATGATACTCCAACAAAAGATATAGACATCAGCCCTGGCTAGTGTGGCTCAGTGGATTGGTGCCATCACTGTGAACCAAAGGGTTGCCAATTCAATTCCCAGTCAGGGCACATGCCTAGGTTTCAGGCCAGGTCCCCAGTAGGGTTGCGTGAGAGGCAACCACATGTGGATGTTTCTCTCCTCTCTTTCTCACCCCCCTTCCCCTCTCACTATAAATAAATAAATAAAATAAAATAAAGATTTAGACATTAATTCCTTTCTTTAGTCATTTCTAGTATCACATCCCCACATTTCACCAACCCCTGAATTAATGTCTGCAACAGGACAAGAATGTGGCCTTATCTAACAGAGCTTTGCAAATGGAAATGAGTTAAGACAACGTCATACTGGTGTAGGATGGCCATTAATGCATATGATGTCCTAGGAGAAGAGGGACATTTGCACCCAGAGACAGACACACAGGATGAAAACAATGAGATGACAGAGGCAGAGGCTGAAGTAAGATGTCTGGAAGCCAAGGGATGCCAAGGACTGAGGGTTCCACTCAATAGTAAGAGAAATGCATGGTCCAGAGTCTCCCCTGGATATTGACAGAGAAGATAATCCTGTTGACCCCTTGATTTCAGAGGTTAATCCTCCAACTGTGACAGATGAAATATTGTTGGTGCAAGCCAGAAAACATTAAAATACATGAGGAGAAGACTCATGGGCAGGGACAACAGGGTGGGAATGGATTTCATGGTGGGTGGGCAAAGATGGGGAGGGCAACAGGGAAGATGGTAGGATAAGTGCAATTGAACAACAATAAAAATAAAAATATAAAAAATAAAATAAAAATAAAATATATTGTGTTTGGAGGTATAAATGTTGCATGAAATCATTTTGAACAAAGTTAGAATAACTGGGAATATCATCTGGGAGAAAACTGCAATATCATTGGGTTCCACTGGGGACATAATATGCAAAGGAAGACAGGAAGTTGTAAAAACCAGCAACGTTGATAAATTTGACACTGATCATCACAGTATGCAAGTGATATGGTCTCACGTACATTCTCCATTCTCAGAGCTTGTTATTTATTTCTCTTTTTTTTATTTACACTAAACATCTGTGAGGGCAGAGCATTTCAGTCAGACTCTTCAATCTCTGTGATGCTGCTGTCAGAGTCACTATGTGTCAGAGAAGCAGCTGTTGAGATGAATGAGGCTTTAACCATATGCACAAAAGTCACCATTTTCCCAAGATCATCCAAAGAAGTCTGACAAGTTTTTTTTTTTTTTTGGAAATATGGTTGTTGATCAACTAATTTCCTATTCAGACTTATTCTCCTGATCATTGGGTTTGGTGGTTTCACCTCAAAAGTTTAATGATTTCTATTTGTTTCCCTCTATTGACAAGAGGTACTTTAAATTTGAGAAATTATCACTATCATTAAATGATGACTCTACTGATGTGTAAATTGATTGTGTTAAAATACAAGGACACATACCTGACAGTATTGAAGTAAATTGAGGACCAATGTGGCTCTGCAGTGGGTGTGGATATGTCATACTCTGACCTCTGGGATTTCCATAACTCCCCCAGGAGTCATCACTGCTGGCACACTACTCCTGTCTGCACATGTTTCTATGGCTGTTATTGTAGATTACATTGTTTTTCAGTGCATCTACATTTTTTTTACTCTGACAACTATAAGAAGAGTATACTTTGCAGAAAATTAACAAGGTTGACCACGTGACTGGTTTGGTTAATATAAGGTTTGTGAAAGTAACAGTTTATGAGTTCAGAGCACAGGCATTAAGTAGCACATTTCTGCTAGTTCTGTGGAGAGTGGCTAATCTGTGCTCTGAGAAGGTCACATGTCAGTTAGCCCACTGTTCAGACAATAAAAGATATAAAAAAGATCTGAAGCAAATCTGTGGTCTGGAGCTTCACCCTTTATCACCTGAAAGCCAACCAAACCACACATGGGTAACTGAGAAAAATTGAGTAAGATTAATGTTTGTTTGCAAATGCCAGTACAACTGGGTTATTTGTAACACAACATCAGGTATGAGATTCTACTCAATACACATATCACATGAAATTAATTTTGAATATTTGCATATTATATATATGAACATAATGAATAGATGCAGAGAACATAAATAAGATATACTTGAACAAGGGAATGTATAGGAATTATTAATTCATTTTGTACATGATAAACAAATATAGGATCTCTGTCATTTGTAATTGAATTATAGTGAAACTACCACTTAATGATGTCAAATTAATAAATTTCTTCCCACATTCTGTCAATAACTAATGTTTAAATCACATGGACATTTTATCCTTTTAATGTTTATATTCTCTTTTTTAACATTGTAATTTTTTATCAATGTAGGATTCTTTTTTTAATTTATTTTTTAGATTTTATTCATTCATATTTTAGAGAGGGAATGGAGGGAGAAAGAGAGAGAGAGAGAAACATCAATGTGCAGTTGCTGGGGGGGCCGTGGCCTGCAACCCAGACATGTGCCCTGACCGGGAATCAAACCTGGGACACTTTGGTTTGCAGCCCATGCCCAATCCACTGAGCTACGCCAGCCAGGGCCTCAGTGTAGGTTTCTAAGCATAGTAATTCAGAATGTCAAAAGGAAAACACAAAGAATTTAATAAAACAAGGTACCTTCAAAAATAACTAAAATCCAGAAGAAAAAAAAGATACATAAGAGATATCAAAGTACACTAATTATTGCCCAATGAAACTACTAGTCTCTACCAAAAAATGACTACAATCATGGATAATGACACAGTAAATAGATTCAGAAGATATATGTGTTGGTTTTGTTGTCCAAGCAAGTTGAGTATAGTCACATGGTTTTTGTTATAGAAACCTTGGGGTTGTTGCAGAGTAAAGGGAGTGCCAATTAGAAATTTAGTTCTCTCTGCTCCAAATCTATATGCACTTTCTGAGATAAAGGCAATAGATCCGAAAACCTCTTCTCCAGTCAGCTCACTTGACATTTTGTCAGGAAAGGGCACTGGGAGAAAGGACTCCTCTTCCTGGTTTCATGCTTTTTTCTCCCCTGGTGTGGCTAACGTCTGTATGCATGCAGGAATTTCTTGTGGTATTCACCCTCCAGCAAATTTTCGTGACTAGTCACAGCCAGAGCTCCCCTTCTCCAACCCAGACCTGCTGGCACTTTGTCAGAGAGGTCATCCTACTTGCCAGTCACAGTGTGAGATCCATCCTCACCCACATCAGTCTGCAGACTGGGAACTGCTCTCCCCTTAGAGCTACCCAGTGAACGTGTCTGTTGTAGAGTTTTCTGTAGTGACGTGAGTCTGAAACCCGTTGCTGAGGAGATAGCCTTGGGTCATATAAGATTCTTCCTTTTGGTAATCTTCTTTAATTAACCCTTTGGTACATTTTGTAATTTCTTCTACACCTCTCTGTAGGCTATCCGCCTAAAATACTTAAAAATTCTTTGAATCATCCCTGGTTTCTCTCTCCTGACCCCATTGCCTTACACACAGTGTAATCCTGATATGTTCAGTCCTCATTTTCAACATTCAAAGGCTGGGGAAAATTATATTGAAGATGTGTCTACAATTATTCATGTTAATTTAGACTTAGATGTAACAGTGCTTGATAGTACAATCCATAGCTTATATTTGATGTATTTTAATTAATAAAAGATTTAAAATGTTAATATGCACCTGGTTATATGTTTTTAAAGATGAACATATAGATATTAAAAAATTTTGTAATACCAAGGATGAAGCATTAGATAAATTATTAACTTTAAGTGACTACCATGTGTCAGTACAGACTCATTCTCAGTGATAAACGCCCCACTCTGCTGAGTGATGCTGATAATGGGGATGCTCTGCATGCAGGTGCCTCCCTTTTATTTTTGTGGTGAAAACAAAACTGATCTCAAAATAATTATTAAAACTTAGTTTTATAAAAATAATTGCAGCATTCTTGAAGAAACTAGAAATGTGTTCTTTAGGGATGGTGAGAGTAACATTACACCATTTTTAGGTGAGCTAATGTGACTGGTGCTTACAAACATATGTTCTCTTTTTTAGACAGGGTTCAGAATAGAAGTTGTGTGTGTCAGAATTCCAATATACACAATTCTTGTCCACCTCTGAAGTTTTTGCAAATCTGAAATGCAGAGATAATAAATCATTAATCTGATGATACATAACTTAATATTTAAATAAACAAATATGTACAGTAATATTTACACAGTAAATCTGAATATTTCTTAAAGTTTTTCTAAAAAACACTTAAATATTTATTCACATACTTGTTCACCCATTGCCTTTTGTTTCTAAGATTAATTTCTGATTTGAAAGCATGAGGGAATAATATGTATGAGTTCTGAAGAAACTTACAGTTCAGAAGAGGGACTTGTGCCAATTGCCCACACCCAAGAATTAGTATTATTCCTCTGGGACAGCCCAATCCATGGATGTTTTTTGAAAATCTTCAAAAAATTCTATGAGAAAACAAATTTTATGAGAAATTAAGTAAAATTAATTTGTATTTATAAAAACAATTAAAGTGGCTCCCAGTTAGAGGGGGAGGTGACAGCTAAGTAAACTGCACAGCCCACCAACATCTCATGACATTAGTGAAAAAGCAATCAACAACATCCTTTGATCCAGGAATTGTTGGTCATACCACCTAGCTGGCTGAGCATATTCAACCCCTAAAGATCACATGACCTTGTGTGAAAAAATTAAGGACTCTGAATCAATGTGAAACACTTCAAGATTCAACTGAGTTGAGGCAACAGCTGCAGCAGAATCAGAATATTCTAAACAACTGGCCAAAGAAACAGGTAAGTCCATGAAACCATCCATATCCCCTCCTATCACCCTCAGTGAACAGCATGAAAGGAAAATACAGATTACTTCTCAGTGGCTAAATTCACAACATCACTGATCAACTCTCCAAAGGCAAGCAGCTGAGAAAGGGAAAGAGTGTTTGGCATGAGTGGGGACCCAGTGCCAGAGCATCGGATGGAACTCCTGAAGAGAGCTCAAAGAAAGGAATCTTGTGTTCTGGAAAAGCCAAAGTCACTCTCAAGGTCAGGTTCAGGATGAGGGAATTACAGAAAGTGTCCTTTACCTTATTCATGAAAGAGTCTTCTCTTAGGCAACTTGAAACTTGTATTATGGATATTAACAAACTTTTCAGAAGACTGAGAATGATAATTCATTAGCAAAGAAGTGTGATGGCATTGAAGCCAGAGTTGAAAACGCAGGGGTGCATGTCCAAGAAGCCAACTAGCACCCATCAAGGGCAGTAGAATATGAGAAAGAGATCCCTAAGTGTTTGTGAGATGCACAAGACTTTTAAGAAAACTACAAATCTACAACTGTGCTACCATGGGAGAATAAACAAAAGTCTAAACCTTTATATTTTATTTTATGTATTTATTAAAGTTTCAATTTATTTAATTTTAGAGAGAGAAGATGAGAGGGAGGAAGAAAGGGAAACATCAGTTGGTTGCCTCTCCTATGCTGGATCCCAGACTGATTCTGCAACAACACAGGCGCGTGCCCTGACTGGGAATCGAATCCATGACATTTCCCTTTACAGAAGGATGTCCAACTAACTGAGAGATACCAGTCAGGGCAACCTATATATTTTAAATGACATATTATAATTCTTTTGCCTCTGGCTTGTGTTTGTATATTGAAAATTTGAATGCAGGTTTCATTAATATTAAACAATAACAATGATTTTGGACGCTAATAAATTGTTCGTAGAAAAATGGGAGAATGATATTTTCAGAAAACTTATTTTTTTAAGATTTTTATTTATTTATTCTTAGAGAGGGAAGGGAGGGAGATAGAGAAAGAGAGAGAAACATCAATGAGCGGTTGCTGGGGGTCATGGCCTGCAACCCAGGCATGTACCCTAGCTGGGAATTGAACCTGCAACACTTTGGTTCACAGCCTGAGCTCAATCCACTGAGCTATGCCAGCCAGGGCAGAGAACTTATTTTGAAAGCAACTTTTACAATTTTTTTTCTTTACTGTTCACATTCAATATTGTTTTGGACCTGTGTATAGCTTCAGAGGCGATCACCCCCAATGGATCTCGCACCCATCTGACACCATACTTCTTTTTTAGAATATTCTTGACTATATTCTCCATGTTGTGCTTTGCATTGTTGTAACTGATTTTATAACTGGCAACTTACAAAAGAACCTTTTCCTAAAGTTTCAAAATGCACAAGCTTTTAAGCTACTCTTAATTGTCATACATAGGTCATTTTTTATCATTCTTCATTAAAAAATAGAGGTATGCCAATTAACTCACTTCCCTTTTTTACTCAATGTTATTGTTTGTTTTGTTTCTCACTTTATTTTTATTGAGGAAAGAGAGAGAGAGAGCAATGTTAGTCGGTCCACTTAGTTTGGAATTCCTTGGGAGCTTCTTGTGTGTGCATGATGGGGCATCAACCAGCAACCTGTGTGTGCTCCGATGATGCTCTAACCAGGGTACCTACCAGGACTGGGCCTATATCAATGTTGTGTTAACATTCTAACCAGAATATCAAAAGAGAATTGTATAGGTTATAGTTTGTATTTTATAGTGTTCATATATAGCAGTTTGAAAAAGGCAATGATGTATATGGCAAGCTATGATACTTCAAATGGAATTAAATTAAATGTTAACTAAATTGTATATTTGAAAAATAAATAAAGATGATTTTAAAAATGATAATCCAGCCCTGGTTGGCATAGCTCAGTGGATTGAGCGCAGGCCGTGAACCAAAGCATCTCAGGTTCGATTCCCAGTCAGGGCATATTCCTGGGTTGCAGGCCATGGCCCCCAGCAACTGCACATTGATGTTTCCCTCTCTCTCTCTTTCTCCCTCCCTTCCCTCTCTAAAAATAAATAAATAAAATAAAACCTAAAAAAATTAAAAAGATTTAAAAAATGATAAACCAAATACAGTTATTTTTCTAGGTTAGAGTGATTGAATTTATAATGTACTTTTATATATTGTACATATTAAGAAAATGTATTAGCATGATTAAGTGAAGGGACTAATATAACAATTTCATACCTCTGAAATTTGATCAAAGAGTAAAAATAACATGAGAATTTATTACTAGAAAAAGCAGCTAGAGATTGCAATAAAAACAGACCAAATTTGTAATCTTCATGTCTAAGACTGCTCCCATGTGTCCCACAATCCCCATCTCAGTTCATGAGTAAGAATTGTAATTCTTACTGTTTGGCGAACGCTGAAACATCACTGGTCTTGCCATAGGGGAAGTCTGATTACTTTGGAAGTGGTGGTTAAACCGCCCACTCCTTTTTCAGGTCAAAGTGCTGAATTCACTAAGTTAAAAGTGAAGACGAGCACCCTTTTTCTGGTCTGTGTCAGCACACTGCCAGCTATAAACAGGAAGGTACCCAATATGAGAACAGTATAAGAGATGATATTCACTCTCTACACCTACTTGGTTGGTGAAAAAAATATTTGCACCATGTAGAAGAAACAAAGATAGTCTGGTAAAAAAAATAAGCCAAAGTTAATTCCAGAACTGCATTTAAAGGCTTGAGTACTACCTTACAAACACACACACACACACACACACACACACACACACACACACAAACACACAAAAGTAAATCAAGGAGCAGAGGGTGGAGCCATACTGACTTGAGGTATTTGAATACATTTTCAAGAATCATTTGTTGTCAAGTAAGCTATGCAAGCCCAAGGGGAATCTCAGTAATTGAGCCTAAAAATAAAATAATAACAAGAATTAAAAAAACTGAGTAAGTATACTTCAAAAGAGGTGATTCTACAGTAATAGTTTATTGAAGTTACAAAAATATAAATCTAATAAGCATGCAGGAGGATCCATGTTTATTATGCTGTGTTATTGAAAATGTGGACTTACCCAAATTCTAAAATCATGCAAAGAACCTAAATGATATCTTCCATACTCAGAGGGATAAATCAGCTATACAACATAACTTTCACTGGGATAAGATGTTGTATTTTTTCCACAAATATTTAATACTAGTTATTATAAATATATATACAACTAAAATATGTTTTTAAATCTATGCTCTAATAACTCTATGGAAATATGATGGCAGTGACAGAACAATTAGGAAAATAAAAACTGTATCAATGAATCAAGTGAAATTATCAGTTGAAAAATCATTATCTATACTACAAAATTTAATACATTTACATAAATATTGAGATGTAGAAGAAAGAATTGATAAAATAAAGATGGAGTGACAGAAATAATAAATTCCTCAAGGTAGAGAGGACGAGATAGAAAAACTAATGGAACCTCAGAGACCTTTATAGAACTTTATCAGTAAAACTGACCTAGGTGTAATTATTGCCCATGAATAAAAAGAAAGACAAGAAGACAGAAAAGAAATTTTTGAAAGAAAGAAAGAAAAAAACAATTTTTGAGACACAATGAATGATCATCTCTTAAATTATGGTAAAATATATAGACCCATGTATATAAATTTGTTTATGTAGAAAAGATCATCTGCTATAAATTATGTGATATCAACTAGGTAATGATGCAAGAAAATGTGAACCTGAGTACTACCACACAGCATCACAAACACAGCATCACAGAAATATACATTCTCAAAGTATTATAAACCTAGCAGTAAAAGTCCATCAGTAAAGAAAAAAGATAAACCATAAAGAGTAATTCAGTAGATTATCTTCATGAACTTTGACCAACTTGTGAAATATGTCCAAAATAATCACCAACATCCAGATGAGATATAGAACGATGGTAACATTAATAAATCCTAATCATTAAAAAACTCCAATATGAGAAGAAAAATGTAATTAACAGCCAAGAAAGCCATTTGCATCTCACAAATTCAAAAAAGAGTCACATCCAAAATATAACTACTTGTAAGAAGGAAAATTACAGGTAACATACAGGAGAAATGGTCAAGAGACATGAATGGGCACTTCTCATTCTCACGGTACAGAAATTCATAATGAACGGTGCTCTCAAAGATGTGTTCAATGGATCAGTATGAGGAAAATATATATTACAGTCATAATGATGCTTTTATATAATAATCAGAGGTGATGGCATTAAAATTTCTGGCAGTACTAAGCTTTGGATCTGAAACTATTGGATATAATGTGTATTTATAAAAAAAAACTAGAAAGTGCAGGGATAATTTACATACACATATAGTTTTGACCCTGTGATTTCATTCTAATGCAAAAAGGCAATACATTTTAATTATACACACACACCATTAGAACAACTATATTTATAAACTATTATTATACTATTATAAACATAACATTTATAGTATATCAATTTATATATTATATGTATTATTGTGTAAAAATTATTTTAAATATGACATATTTGGGAAAAAGACATACACAAATATTTTTATTAAACAATTATTCATACCAACCACATATTAAAAAATCTCTATTCTGAGCAGAATACATTAAAGAATGCAAGATATGTACAATATAGCAGTGAGAATTAACAAACTGCACATACATTCAATAATATGGGTTAATTGAAATACTATCACGTGGGAGTTAACAGAGACATGTAAAATGCATAATGAATAATTCCCATTATATAAAATACAAAATTAAGCAAAGATAATTTGTGATATAAAATATCAGAATAATGGTTGAGTGAGGGGAGAGGAGACGTTATGAGAAAGTGCACAGAGGCAGGCTGAAAACACCTACTTCATGACCAATTTCAGTCTGTAACACGCACAATCACATCTATAGTCTCCATGATGCATGGTACAATGAAGTAGCAAAGTTTACTTTAGGGAACAAAGCATTTATACAAACCTGATTGTGTATGAAAATCAAGAACTGCAAATTATCAAATGCACATAAAAAGCATAAAATATAAATCAAATACTATAGAGTCAAATAATAAAATATTAACAATCTTTACAATAAATTATAGATATAAACAAAAATATAATGAATTCTATAGAAATATAAAATAAAATACTCTTTTAAATAAAATGTTGGAAACATTAAAAATCTTACCCTTTCTTCTTCAGTATCTATATAGAGCAGGTGAGAGCTCTTAGAAGCACAGGCCTTCAAACTCTCATTCCATGTTTTTCCTTCAGTGCTGATGTAATAGCAGTTGTTGGAGTATGTGAACCACTCTGGTGGACATAGGCCACAATGGTATGCTGAGGAAAGATTAGGTATTGTTATCCAAGAACAATATAAATTTTAAAATGAAAATTAATTTCAAAATTTGCATAGATATAGACAAATTAGTGCACAGTATATGTACATACCTTTACAGACTGGCATATATAAAGCATAATGCACTCATACACACTCATGCACACTCACAGAGGAGGGTCAGCCTCTCATTCTGTAATTTATGTGCTCATATTAAGCAAACACACAAACAAAAAAAACATTTTTTATATGTCCTGAATGTTAATCAATGAAACTGCATTTTTAGAAACCAAAATTATCTTTTAACCAAATGGTAACAATGAGTATGATAAATTAAATGAATATTTCTCCATATTTTTGCATAAAATATACTCTACTATATTCATTATTTATGTACATTTATGCCTGCTATTATAATTTATTTTCCCACCACCAAAAAAATAAAGCCTATAATTTTGATTGTGTTAGAGACAAGGTAGGAGCTGTATTGTTATCAGAACATAGAAAATAATTAGGTACCTTTTTGGTTCCCTGTTGTTTGGTTCCCTCTCTTGTTCTCTGTATGGCTCGCTGTTAAAATAATATATAATTTATATTATGTACAAGAAAGAATTATTCTCCACCAGTATTACATTAGCTAGAAAAAGAAGTAACTATTATAAAAGTAATAGTGACCTACAGAAATCATAATAGTTTTGTTTCTTACTTTGAAATGTGGTATATTGTCCAGGATTATAACAGCCTGGAATAAAATTGATCTTACTAAGAAAACTTAGTGAAGTTATGATAATTTGGGAGAAAATATTTCAAAAACCTTGAGAACCAAACTTCATCAACCCTTACAATATTTGGATTAATCAATATGAGGAATTTATTTGTATTTTTCAATAATGTGCCCTAAAGCATGCCTTGAATTAAAACACAAGAATACCTATGGATACATGGGATATGTAAGTGTATATATATATATCTATATATGTGTGTATATATACACACATATATATGTTCAAGTGCATTTGTTCAAGTGCAATTGTCTCCATTTTCACCCCACCTCCTCCACCCTACCCATTCCCACCTCCCACCCTCAAACTTACCCCCTTTGGCTTTGTCCATGTGTCCTTTATACCTGTTCCTTGATGGCCTTCCCCTATTCTCCCCCATTATCCCTCTCCCCTATCCCCTCTGGTTACTGTCAGTTTGTTCTTCAATTCAAAGTTTCTGGTTATATTTTACTTGCTTGTTTGTTTTATCCATTAGGCCCACTTATAGATGAGATCATATGGTATTTGTTTTTCATATCCTGGCTTATTTCACTTAGCATAATGCTCTCCAGATCCACCCATGCTGTCACAAAGTGTAGGAGATCCTTCTTTCTTTCTGCTGAATAGTATTCCATTGTGTAAATGTACCACAGTTTCTTTATCCACTCATTTACTGGTGGCCTTAGGTTAGTTCCAGAAGTTGGCTACTGTAAATTGTGTTGCTATGAACATTTGGGAAAATATATTTGCCAATGTTATCTTGGACAAAGGTTTGATCTTCAAAGTATATAAAGAACTCACACGACTCCACTCCAGGACAACACACAACACAATTAAAAATTAGGCAAAGGACTTAAATAAACTCCTTTTCCAAATAATAGTTATTTATCCCCTGGACAAATTCAGAATAAGAATTTTGCACCTACTCTAAAGGCATACTTTAAAATGAGAGTTGTATTTTCTAATATTATGAACTGTTTGGAGGCATTGATGTTCATGGCAGTGATGAACATCATGGCACTGATGGAGGCAGTGATGTTAACAGTGAAGAGTTTCATATAATCTTACAATTATTTACTTACATGGATTAATAGCTGTTGTCACCACAGTGGTCATCAGGACAAGGCAGATGACCCCTAGGATCCCAGCAATGAGCTTCTCTGGAGGTGATAGGGATGCTGCAGGGAGGGAAATGGAAACACTGAGAAAGGAGGGATGGAGACAATTGTTTGGACAGTTTACACACAGAGAATCATGTACATAAACTTGGACCCCAAACCCATATCTACCATTGTAATCTTCCTCTCAGAATATATCATGGCATTTTCACTAAATATAATGCTCTACAAGTTACTTGTCAAAGACTACAACTTACAACAATGTCTGAATAAAATTATTACTCAGCTTTCATATTAACATACCACATTCCAACTTCAAGTTCTGATCCTTAAGATGAAAAAAATATGTGAGCTTATTCCCTTCTCTTTCCTACACGTCTGAACCCAGCTGCACATCCAAGAACAGTTATACTGTGTCTGTTGAATGAGTTACCTTTGCAGTGGTCATTCTTGTCACTCCCTCGAAGACTCTGAGAAGCATTTTGAAGATTTAATTCTGCATAGGTTAGTTCCTGCTCAGTTCCTGGAATGGTGCCTTTAGTGCCCTCAGGTTTTATGTGCTGTCTCTTTGTGTCCTTAGCCAGATTCAGTTCTGCATAGGTTACTCTTTGGTCACTCATCTCTGGAGCTGAGTGCTGGCTGAGACTGTGCTCTGCAACATGTGTGCTTACGAATAAGTGACACATACACTGAAGAGATCCCTCACAGTGACACTGGGCGGGGTAGGGGGTGAGTATCTGGCTCATTTCCCAGATAAGAACCTTATGTTGTGCTTATAGATTTCTTAGATCTTTAAACAAGTGCCTCATGATAGATACAATATTTAAGATATTCTACATTTGACAATATATTATTTGCTTGAGCAATAAAAAGCTGTATGTTAGTGATGAATAAAATTTCATAAATAACATCCTTGTTTATTTAATCTCAGAATCTACAGAAATATTTTAACAACATTAGGATGCTAGTATGAAAAATAAAATGCAATATTAGAAAAAAGAGATATGGTATTTATGATAAAGTGGAAGTTGAATAATGACTAAACACTGAGTGCCCTCAAAATGGGGCACTAATCATGTTGTCATATCTAGTAATTTTTTTAACTAAATTTTTATTTAGTGACATACATTTACTCATTAAAGAGGATGATCTGTTATCAAATGATTTATTATGAATAAAAATTTTTCACATGTTAAAAAATCTTTGTCATGCTAAACTTATTCAAGACCTAAATATATAGACAACAAAGTGAATTTTTTTAAACACTTATGTTCGACAAGAAATTGGCAATTAAGAGCAAAGATATAAAAGCATAAAATATAAAATAAGTGTGTAGATCATTTACATTAGAACACTGTTGTTTCAAACTTCCAGACAGTTCCCATGCATGTTAAACTCAGGGCACCTTCAGTTGTGTGAGGCATAGTAATGAATCAGATGGTGTAACTTAATAATTCAGTCAATGGGCTCTGTGGCCAGTGAGTTCTAGAATTAATTCTGGCTTTGAAATTGGCAATGTATGAAGTTTACAAAGTGACTTAGTGTCTAGCAACATAGTTTAACAATAAAGTAGGAATAAAAACATGTATACATAATACATGTGAAACATTTAATATTTCACCTTTTTTAAGCTCTACAAAATATTTTAGTTGTACTAATATCATTTGAACACATTTTTAATGTTATTTTTGATTCACCACTTGAATGCTGTAGCTTAATTCATTAGGCAAAGTGTCTATCAGTGTGGTACGCTCTCTAGCAATGGTGGCTCAATTTCTAAACAGTCTTTTGATTGTTTATAATTAAGATTCAATTAGAATTTTATGAGAGTACTTCATCCATCCTGATTTTTATTGAAAGGCAACTGCATTTATTTAATCTAATTAAGTGCATAAAATATTGTGTTTGACTTCTATAATTAATACAATTTCTTTAAAAAATCTCTTTTTAGAGACTGGGCTAAATATAAAATAATAAATAATTATACCTATATTGATTATAATAAAAAATAGCTGCTTCTTTTCATATTCTTATAGGATTTTTACTTTAAATGGTTTTGATTAACACACTCAATTATTCTTGTGTATATACACTTGAGTAATTCTCCACAGGCAAGAATTTGAATAGTTCAAGACATCCTCCAACATATTTTATATTTTATTCTTGACTTTTTACTCTAAATTATTTAAATAAAATACCAACATTCTCTTTGATTTGATTGTATATTAATCGTACCTCACTGATATGACATCTTATGTTGTAATCTCCCCCTACATGAGATGGGCTAAGACAGAGACAGGAGAGGAGAGACACACACATACCTTCTGAAGGCCAGAACGTCCTACATCCTTTAGTGGGAGACCAGCTAACTTGTAAACAAACAATCTGTGGTCTTCACAGACTGACCTGTGAAGGCTCAGAGTGAGGCATGAATGTAACAGTAGATTTGTCAATAATGTGTCACCTAACCTTTGAACAGGAAATTCTTACACGGGGCTATTTTGAAGAGTGTGTATCTCATCACACACCTCCAGAATCTAGGAGACTTTGGGCTGTTAGTGTGCATTCAGGTTGTTTTTTGGCAAATGTATCTGGAAATTGTTTTCTGAATCTGAAAGGTATTAGGGGACAATGACTGGACCACTTATGCTGTGAATTTACTTCCATCTTAATCACAGACTCTGAAATCTTAGGCCTGGTTAAGAATATGTTATATGTTTAAATTATACTCCTAGACAGCATTGTTTAATTTTGGCTTTACATATTTCTCTTCCTTATATTCTCATTATGGCATTTCTATTATAATGGGAACAATTTTAAAATCATAATTCCATAAAGAATAGATATTTGATGTTGCTTGTCAGCAATATTCTGAAAAATCACTACATTTTCACTGTTATGGTAACTGTCACAATCACTAATCCCATACTTTTTTCTCCGTTTCTTGCCTCAGTTTTTAAGATTCCTTCATTAACTTTATAGTTATTAACTGTTATTTAGATTTTCCCTGGTAAAGATAATATCTCTGTAACAGATAAAACATTAAGCAATATTGAACTGTATCACCATGGCAGAGATAAATTGTTATGTAACTTCTAATTGGATTTTTGTTGATTCATTTTCAGATCACTACTAATTGTTTCTAATTTAATTTGAATATTTGTTTTAAATTACAAAAGCACAAATCTAACTATGGTGAAAACAAAGGTAATTTAATTGTTTTCCTTATTTAAAAAACGGGAAGGACAGAAAAAGTAGACTTCTGAAAGACAATTTAAGTGACACATGAGCATCAAAAGAAACAAAAATGTACTGCATAATGTTTCATTTGCATATATTGCAAAATAATTATCACCATAAGTTCAGCTAACATCCACCTTCTCATAGAGTAAGAATTAAAAGAAATAAAGAATACATGGGGTAGTCACAGTATGTTACCCAACTATTAATCACATAGTGGTTGTGTGTGTCATTAGACCAATGATTTTTGACCTTTCACCTTTGATAGTACAATTAACTAATTACTAAAATTCCGTGGCACACCAAAATATATTTTCACTAATATGACAAGTATCAGTATAATTTTGATTGACTTATGAAAAGTAATAATACTGTTACCTACTATTTTTGCTTTAATGTGACTTTTTAAAATATCAGGTGCCCATACTTGTATATGATCAGATTTGTCTGAAAAAAGTCCAGCCATTGTTCATGTAATAAGAATGGTTTGCATGACATTGTTGTAACATGGCAGCCAAGGAGAGTGGACTGGAATGCACATGTATGAACAATGACAACTGCACTGTACTATTCAGTGGGGGCTGTAGACACCACTGATTGAGCCTTTGTACTGTGTGGCTGTCACATTGAAAATGACTGGGGAAGTATAGAGCAACGAGTCCTGTGCCAAATTTTGTGATAAGCTTAAATATTCCTCCTTAGAAACTACTGGGATGATTTGGAAGGCTTTCAAAGATGATGCAATGAGTGCAGTGCGAACAATAAAGTGTGGCAGAAGTGCTTCAAAGGTGGGTGAGAATCTGGTAAAAGTAACCCATGTCCTGGAAGGTCTACAACCAACGAAATACCTGAGAATGTTGAGCATGTAAGGTCTGCAATCAACAAAAATGGGCAAGTGACAATGCACGAACTAGCAGCTGATCTGGGGATTTCAAAAACTATTGTGTCTTAGATTTTTTAAAATTTTAATTGTTGTTCAAGTAGTTTTCTGTCTTTTACTCCCATCCCAGCACAGGACCCCAGCCCTCCTTGCCTCCCTGCCATTTGCACCACCCTCCCTTAGTTTTTGTCCCTGTGTCCTTTATACTTGTTCCTGTAAATCCTTTCTTTTTTTCCTGAAATTCCCTCCCCTCTCCCCTCTGGTCACTGTCAGCCTGTTCTCTATTTCAGTGTGTTTGGTTATATTTTGCTTGCTTGTTTGTTTTATTGTTTAGGTTCCTGTTAAAGGTGGGATCATATGGTATTTGTCTTTCTCCCTTCCTGATCAGCACTCAGTCAGCCTCACGTGCACTCTCCCCAGGCTTTTGGTGTGGGATCCAGGCCTTCCTCAGAGCACACTCTCCCAGGGGTTACAAGTGTGGGCTCCTGGTCTTCTGCAGAGTGCGATCTCCCTGGTTTGCGGGCACACGCACTGGGCTAGGAGGCCTCCAGTCCCACGGGGTCAGGTGCACCCTCTTCCCAGGGCTACAGGAATGCACACTCAGGCTTCTGCACTGCCCAACTGGGTGGGGAGGAGGCCAGAGCAACTGTTGCAGGAGAATTCTCCAAACAGTTTCTCTTTTTTCACTTTTGCTTTTTGAGAAATTCCTCCTACTCAAGCCTGCAGCTATGTACAGCAGCCTGGCTTCTCACACACCCCAATTCTCCAGCCAGACTGGGAATGATCTGGGTCAGGGTCCCTTAAGGCTTGACTCTCAACTCTCCCCAGCAGGCATCCACAGATTCCGTGGCTGCTAACAGCCCCTGTGTGTTTGCCACTTAGTTCTTATTCCTCTCTCTGCAACTTCAATTAACCAAGTCTCTTTCAGTGCTGCTCAAACCTCGATTGTCTGGGGAGGGAGCAGCCAACTCAGCTCTCTCCCAAGACCACTGTGGAAGACCCAGGGGGCACTGGGCCTGGGGGTGAAGCTGCCCTGGTCCCCAAACTGGTCCCTGGGACGTTATTGTCTTGAAGTACTCTCCTTACCATCTGGTTTTTGAACGTCTGCTGCAATTTTTGGTCTCCTATTTTCATATATGCTGGTGTACTGTTGGCTGTTGGCTCTGTTCCTCTGTAGATCAGCTAGGTTTTTCTCCATTGTGCAGAGAGAAGTGGTCTGCTCCCTCCTACGTCGATGCCATCTTCCTTCTCTGTATCTTAGATTTTGATGCAGGATCTTAGCATGGGAAAATCCATTCAGCAGTCTCTGCTACCTGAGCAGAAGGAATATCATGCTGCACTTAATAATGACTGATTCAAATTGCTACCAATGAGCCAGATTTTCTCAAGATGGTCAAAACTGGAGATGAAATATGGGTGTGTGGCTGTGATCCAGAAATGCAGGCCCAGTTGTCACTATGAAAGTTACCGGGTTCTCCAAGCCTGAAGAAGGCACAGCAA